AGCCTTCTACTCATACTGACGCTGACGGGCTGTCTGCGCTTCTAATTAAATATTGTCCTGCTCTTGTCCAATCCTTAAAAATTGTTTTTAATAAGTCTTTAACCTCGGGTACATTTATTGATGGGCGGAAAATAACTACCATTACTCCAATTCTAAAAAGCGGCAAGAAAAACGATATTCGCGACTATAGGCCCATCTCTACGCTCTCAACGTTTCTAAGCTCTTCGAGTGCGTTGTAGAAGAAATTGTACTTTGCTATCAATTCATTTATTTGCCTAAATCAGCATGGTTTTGTTTCTGGACGCTCCACAGTCTCGAGCTTGGCTGTCTTCATAGAATACTGTATTGTTTTCTTGAATGGATTAAACCCTACTTGTGTAACAGAGTATGAGTTGTTGACATAGACGGAATGTCTTCCGATTCTTTTGTTGCTTCATCTGCGGTTGCAAAAGGGATCACTATTATTTGTCCTTTTTATCAACGACATAAGCAGCTGTTCTTCATTTGCAAATTTTCTACATTATACAGACGACCTTAAAGTATTCGCCACAATTAGAGATTCTTCTGATAAGATAAATCTGCAACGTTATGTCGATGTTGTTGTTGTTGTGGCGGCCCATATCGGTTAATATTTCAGTCGTTGTCGTCAAGCTCCACTAACGGAAGCCCTAAGAAGCGAGCAGCCTCAATGGGGTCGGCTCACAGGGACAGAGGCGTTAGTGTTGTCGGGTTTACCGGGCATACGAAGAGATGTTTCGAGTCGTGGGGTGTCTCTCCGCATGCCGGACACTCATTTGTCACATCTGCGTCTAATCTGCTCAGGTATAAGTTTAACCTACTGCAGTAGCCAGAGCGAAGTTGGGCTATTGTGGTTCTAGTCTTCCGAGGCAGATGAAGCTCCGTCTCGTCGACGTCCGCTGGTTGTGTGCCTATAACGGCATTCACAGGTCTGGAGTTATGTAAACTCGAGACTGACTCCCTGCTAATGCCGCTCAGGTTCTCGCGATAAGCTGACGGATCCAGAGGTTGTTTAATGAACCTCTGGACTTTGTCCGTCAGTTCGTATAGATGCCTCCTGACGTGCCTGGGACTAGACTCTTCTGCAAGCAATTTTCTATTCGGATCACCACGTCTGTGGCTCCCGACTAGAAACTGCTTGCATTTATGGGCAGCATTTTCGCCTCATTATGCAGGTGATGTTCTGACGACATCAGAATACATCCATTCGCTGTCCGAAGTGCAGTGTTTTGCGTCGTCTGCCCCCCCCAAGTACTGCCGGCTAGCGACTTGAGGACCTTGTTGCGGCTCTGTACTTTGTTGACAATAGCGGTTGCGTGCATAGAGAAGAAGAGCATACTGTCGAAGGTTACTCCGAGTATTTTGGGGTTATTCACCGTCGGAATCGGTGTATCATCGACGTGAATTCCCACGTCTTCTCCTTCGTCCAGGAGTTGACCAAGGTCGCAGAGGACTTTTAGGGGAGAGGGTTAGGCACCTAGCAGTGGAGAAGCGATAAAGCTCGGAGAGAACCCGTTTACTTTCGAACACAAGTCAACAATTCCATTCCCAGACGCCATTATCGAACAATCGTCAGCATGTAGTAGTTAAACAGTAATGGGGAAAGGACACAACCCTATGGAACCCCCTGTTTTATTTTTCGAGGTTTGCTCGATTCGTCTCTAAACATTACTGACGAGTATCGACCATTTAGATAATTCGCCGACCACCGCTTGAGCCTCCGTGGGAGAGAGGAGGCCTCTATGTGTTCTAGCGGCGTATAGTGGCTGACGGTGTCAAACGCCATTGACAGGTCCAAAGCTACTAGAATAGTTCTCTCACAATGACGGTTGCGGTTTAGGCCACGTGTTATCTGCGTGTTTATAGCGTTAAGTGCCGTTATTATTCTGTGCACTTTACGGAAACCATGCTGATGCTTAGCTGGGGTCAAGTGGTCCGTGAAATACGGGAGTAGCAAAGCCTCTAGTGTCTTCGCTACCGGGGAAATGAGTGTTATCGGACGATAAGACTCTCCTTTGGTGGCTGGTTTTCCCGATTTGAGCAGTGGGACCACTCTTTCCATCTTACGGACGTCTGGGATGATGAGTGGCGATTGACATATTGAGGACCTCCATTAGGTATGCTACTCCCGCAGGACCCAAATTTTTCAGCATCAATATACATATTCCATGGCCACCCGAACTTCGCCGCTAATGAAAGCCAGAGAGGCACAGGTTGTTGGTAGTTTGTGCAGTCTTCTAGTCACTCGACGCTTGGCTTTGTCCACCGGAGGCTGCAATATGAATTGCCGGCTAAAATAGCTCACGCATCGCTCCGGGTCCGACGAAGCATGGTCGCCGAAAGAAATTTCGACCCTGTCGTCGTACTTCGTCGGATCGGGCAGTGACCTCACGGTTGACCAAAGCTTACTCACACCAGCGGCGAAGTTATAAGTCTTCAGATACTCTTGCCACTTTTTCAATCTGGATTTCTGGGATCGGCCTGTTGAAGGTTGTCACGCTCTTCGGCCAGAACAGCCGCTTCAGCAGGGAAGTTTGGACGGGAATCCGTAATGCATCCTTCTGGTACGAAGCGAGCTGCAGCAGCAGTGACAACCTTGCGGAACTTACGTTCACCAAGGTGGACGTCGATTGGTGTGTGGAGTGCAGCGAAAGTGCTCTCAGTAAATTCCACGAAGCCTTTCTAATCAGCTTTAGAAAAGTTGATAGCAGGTCCGGTGTACCACGGAAACAAATTCGGTTGGTTTATCGATCGACATGATAATGGGCAGATGGTCTGATGCCAAAATCAGCATAGGTCGCCATGATATGCTGTTTATCAGACCAGCGCTGACTATTGTTATTCTGGCGAACTGCAGCAGCTGCCCATAATCCTGGTGGGTGTGTCGTAGTTCATTGTGAAGAATGTTCTACGATCGTTTGACAGGCTTAAATACCAAAGATCGTGTTGCGCATTAAAGTCACCAAATATCATACTGTTTTCACTTCTGAGGAGCGCACCTATATCAGGGTGATATCCTGCCGGGCAGCTAGTGACAGGGGGTATATACACGTTAAATATTTCGAGCTCTACATCGCCTGACCGGATAGCAACACCCTGACATTCTAGGGTGGTATCCCTGCGGTAGATGTCTGCTCCGATAAGACGATACTGCACGGTGTGGTGCGTGATGAACGCTAAGCCACCACCATTATCTCGCCCGCGATCTCGGCGGTGCACGATGTGTCCGGCGTAATTCAACAATGTTGAATTGCTGTGCAACTTCGTCTCTTGGACCGCAGCTATCAATATACCATGCCTTCCCATAAAGATCGTTATCTCCTCGATCTTGCTGTGAAGTCCGTTACAGTTGAATTGTAGCTTTGTGTGGTTAGGGAGACGTGTTTGTGTGAGGGATTTGTTGGGCCGTGCCGCCATTGGCTATGTGCGCTGCTGTGTCGTCCAATCTCGCGTGGTGCGCAGACCTGAACATGACCAAGGCAGGTGATGCACTTGACTTGACACACCGTGCAGATTGTAGAAGGAACCAGGAGTTCTTGGCGGCGGCTGTGCTTAGAGCGATTGTGTCTGTTGTGTGGTCTGTCGTGGTTGTGATGTGGTCTATTGTGTTGTTGTGTTGTGGTGCTGTTGTGTTTGTGTTGAGCTGCTCGAGTGGACTGGGGTTAGTATGAAGGCTGCTCTGTTTGAGTAGCAGCGGGCCACAAATGATGTGGTCCACTTTCGATCTGTCCGTAGGCCTGAGCAGACTCTAAGGTGACTCCACCCGTAGCATACATTACAATTGACCGAGGTGAAGTTGTGGTGTAGTCGTCTCTGGCATTTGTTCGTTCCCAACCTTGAATATGCCGTATTTGTTTGGAGACCTTATAATCAGCTTTCAAACAGCAGAATTGAGCGTATACAGAAGGTGTTCCTAAAATTGTATCTGGTTTAGAAATAAGAGACTAGGGCTGTGCGATTATACGATTTTTCGAGCAGTCGTTCGCTTATTCAATTACTAATTAAGAGTTTTAAAATATGATTATTAAGAAAAATTAATTTTGCTCGTAAAATACCATGGAAATGCGATAATCGAATAATAGACGTTTGTCTACTACCAGTCGTCACTCGTATACCCCTATTGCGAGTGTCGACTAGTAGTACATAAACGACTGTTAGTCGATTATAGATTATGCGTGGTATTTTCAAAGTCGTTTTCTCGTTCAATAAGTGCGTGTGGATAGTTTATAGTCGCTCATCCTTCTACAAACAGAAAAATTACCGATAAAAAACGATTTACAGTCGCTTATTGAACGAGAAATCGACATGCACAATACCATGGGAAAGCGATATTCGAATAAGAGTCGTTTATCTACTACTAGTCAACACTCGCAATAGGGGTGCCAATAAGGGCGGTAGTTTTTAGTTCATCAATGTCTTCACTACTCGATTAATTGAACTTTTCAGTAAACAATACTTCCAATTAATCAAATAATTGAGTTATTCACTTTATGATTAACTAAGAGTTTGAATAAACAATTAATCGCACAGCCAAAAAGACTGATGCCTTGTTTTGCTGCATATCCGAATAGCCCCAAAGCAGCAGTCTCTTTTACTTCTAAACCTCATTCGATTGTAGAGCCACATGGGAACAACCACGGTTAGATGCTAGTTTTGTTGTTGTTGTTGTAACAGCATACAAATTCCCCAAAGAGATTTTGGGGAGTGTTGCTGGAGTGACAGTCCTTGGCCAGATATAAATCTGGGTCGTTCCGGTTACGTAGACCCGACTGTCGTGGGTCGTGGATAGCGAAATTTGCTAGTTTTAGGTTGCGCATGTTGCGACTTTTTTTCTAATGCGGTTTAGAAATACTTGTCTTTAGTTCCCCACCCCGAACTCATAAAATATATACACAAAATCCTTATATTTTCTGATAGCGCGTATTACTGGAGTAGACTCATACTCTCATTTTAATGCTTCATATCCAAGAAAACTACAAATGTATGTATTATTATAGTATATTTGCCGTTAAAGTAACCATTTAAATCATTAGTTTCCTTTGAATTTCTAATTTTTAGTCTATAGAGTGAAATTTAATAGCCTTAATGAATGCGCTTTACTTAGTACATTACGTCGAAATTCACAAAAAGGGAATTTCACCAAATGTGTATGCGCATTACCGATTTTTTTATTTCCATAGCTAATGGCGACGTTCGCGAAATTTGTAGATTTTTTTATTGATTTATATTTTTTTGAAAAACAAAACATGGATACAACATCTACACATCAAACGTCGCTAACTCGCTTAGGGCCAATTTCACAGTGCGTAGTTAACTCAGAATCTGAGTTAGCTATGCACTGTGAAATTTGCCCTTATAGTATAATGATCACTTGTGATAATACCCATTTTGATATTTCGACGCTCTTGCTTCTGTTGGTGATTTAGCTCATATGCATGTTAAAATTTAACTAGTTTTTTAGTGCTCTTGCGTGTTCACGGCTTATTTGTAGGTTTTGTTGAACGATTAAACATATGTGAGAGATGTTTGCGTTATGCGCTTAACTCGACGAACATTGCTCTATTCTGGGTCCTTGCTCATAGCCACGATCATCTTCCTCATATGCCATGCGTTGATGTTGTTGCTGACGGCGCTGCTTAGGATCGAATTCCTCCTAAAAGATGCAAAAATAAAATTATTATTTGAGGGAAAATATTTTTTTTTAAGAACTCACCAATTCGACGGTCTCTGCATCAAGTGGAATAGTCACTTCGGGCCTTGGTGGCAAGCATTGTTCTAGAGTTGGGATAACTGTCAATGGAATGGTAGAGGGGAAGATAACTTCGAACTGAATGATCAATCGGCCCTTCTCCAGTGGGTTCTTATACAGTGGCATACCCTCTTCCAATACACACTTTGTCATTTCATGTTTGACCACTTCACCGGGCTTAGAACGGATTACAAGATCACGATCGTCGAGTGTCTTAATGACACGTTCGAAGCCACAAAGAGCTTCAACTAACTGAATTGGCATTTTCATCATTAGATCAGTACCGGCATGAACAAATGTTGTGTGTTCTTTCTCATCGAGTAAGATGATAATATCACCGGGTTGAGAATCTGGCTCATGATCACCTTCTCCGTTAAATATAATTTTCTGTCCATCCCGCATACCCTTCTCTATATGCACTTCCAATACTTTACGTTCCCTTACCGTCTTTCGGCCATTGCACTGCTTACAACGATCTTTCTCAGAAATCATCTCTCCAGTACCCATACACTTACGACACACTTGCTCGGTATGCTGCACTAGACCAGGGCCAATCTGTTGCACACGGGTTTCGACACCACTTCCGCGACATTGCATACATTTCTCAATGGCACCCTTCTTGCCACCACGACCCTCACATTTATCGCATATCACATTTTTCTGCAAGGCCAACTTGCGTGTGGCACCATTGTACAATTCTTCCAGCTGAACTGACATCTGATGTACAACATCCTTGCCACGACGCTCACGTCGCCGGCCACCACCGCCAAAACCAGCCCCGAAGAATTTCTCAAAGAAGTCCATAGGGCTGCGGAAGTCACCTGTGTCAGCACCGCCTTTCTTGATCGCCGCTTCGCCGCCTTCATCGTAAATCTGTCGTTTCTCACGATCTGACAGCACCTCATACGCCTGTGAAATTGCTTTGAAACGCTCACCCTCATTCGGGTTCTTGTCAGGATGGTATTTCAGCGCTAACTTTCTATACGCTTTCTTCAGCTCTTCACTGGTGGCATCGGGTTTCACACCCAACAGGTCATAATAACCAGTTTCTTTAACCATTTTTCTTTTGATTCTTTATGGCCTATGAATCGAATAAATAGTAGATTCACAGCTGCTCCAAAGGAACAAAGACAAAAATGTACGACCTGAAAAGTGGAGAAATACACGAAGTGAGCAAAATATATAGAGACGTAAAATAAATGTCTTCTAGGAAACTTAATTAATCTCCAAGTATATGTAAGTATTTTTGACATTATTAAATTAATTTATAAATCGAAGTTGACATAAAAGACTGAAGCATTTGCATAAACCGTACGAGGTACCCTACAAGACATTGCTGAGCACTTTAGGCAAAAATCTAACACATATACACTTTAAATTTGTAATATGGGGATTTTCTGATGACAATATTCAGAGGAGAGTACTCAATTTTTTCCCATGGCCTGAACGTAAATGACGACTTTGATAAGCACTTTTGTAATTAGCGATAATGCTAATATGAGCATTCATATGATACTCAGCCGTCTTGTAGGGTAATAATGAAAGATAAAAACCAATTTAGACTGCATCGCTGAAAACATCTAATTCCCATTTGTACTATCCGTATTCGAGAATTTTTGCCTATTCATGAAACAACAACTACATACTTATCTATTTATGTACTTTAGTTTATTTTCATTTCTACCTGCCATGACTATGCTGTAAAGCAGACACCGCCACACCATTTTCCCTTTATCCCCCGAACAGGTAGATACAAAGTTGTATATTTAAAACCCCCATCCCCTATTCCACAAATCTACGTAGAGATCGTTTCCAAATAATAGACAAATTTTGCATTTGATGTTACGAAATATCCAGAAATATGCAGTTTCTATGTTCGAGGGGAGAACTGCATATAAAAGCAGCGAGTAGAAGTTAGCAGGGACGAACAGTCAAACGACGAGTTACGAACGAAAACTTTCGATAGTTGCACTCTATTGCAATATCGATTTTTTCTTCGCCACCGCCTTCGTATGAGATAGATTTTATGCCGAATTTCAAGACGCTAAAATTGCTATTTACAAGTTGCCCTACGTTATTATACATTCCATAATACAAAGTTCAAAACTTAAATTTCCACCTATTGACCTGACGAGGTGCTTTCACATACCTTTTTCTGTCTGTAAAGCTAATTTCATTATATAAATTCTCTCTCCTTTTATAATATTCTCTTTCCTTTTAGTGGTACGTATACACGAAAATTACCTTGTAAAAATTTGCTAGATTGCTAAAATGGCCCTTGAAAATCCCTTCGATTCCACGCGTTCGGCTATTCGTTGCGTTTTTTAGATACGCAATAAACTTTTCAGCTTTTAAATAATTGCCCTTGCCAACGAGTACTGAGCTTAAAATAAATACTTTTTTCGGGTTGATAAGTGGTATTTTCTCCCGACTCTCAGCTGTTGTATTCTACTTTATCTTTTCCTGGATTCAATATACTAGAAATTCCAGAATAATTAACACAATATTGTCATTAAACTCACAATAGAAACGTGGTCACACTGCGATCAAGATAAACCTCCGACGAGCAGAAACTTCACTCAAGTGCGCTTTTAATTTTCAACTGAGAAAAAATGTGGAAGACCGAATAAACGAACCCAAAAGGTCTGACGCATGAATCTTCTAGAATAGAAACGTGCAAGTCGATAATACAGACCATTGCCGATAACTTGGGGTGTTCACAGTTCGTTCCAAATAGTGTCTCAAAATGTAGACGTCTACATTTTAAGACGTTTTCTAACCGTAAAATCTGTGGTGTTGTTGTTTCCCATACAAAATTGGAAAACGACGCCGTCTACATTTTGTCACACTCAAAGGTATGTTTTTTACGCGTCTACATTTTGCAACCTCGCAGCAGGGTTGCACTATGGCAATACTAATCGCATTTTTTTTATTTATTGGGCGCGTTTTCTATATTTGCATTTAATTTGAGCGCAATTTCTGATGAAAAGAAATAAATCAAGGAAAAGAAATAAAAAATATTAGGAATTGGTAATTAAGTTAAATAATTACAATTTTTCAGAAACAAAATCGAAAGGCGACATATAAAAAAGCACGCAAAGAAGAAATGTCTGGCAACACCAGCAAAGTTTTGAGACGATTTTGCGACGACTGCTAGAAAGGGGTGCTCACAGTTTGATGCTAAAGATGTCTCAAAATGTAGACGTCTACATTTTCAGACACAATTTGGAACGAACTGTGAACACCCCAACTATTTATCGGATTTCCTTAATAGTAACTGTTTATAAACTGAGTACTCTTAGGTGAGGTTACTTCTTTAACAATTCTTTGCCTTATCAGATCCGCTGATTTCATGACGAATTTGTACCTTTTCTCAAAATGATGTGTATAATTTGTAATTGTAATTTTAGTTTTTGTTTTGTTAACACCTCCTTGTATAAATTCGCCTTGGTGAGGACCATCCATCCTGTGACAACAGCCGGATGAAATGTTAAGGTATTGGCCCAATGCACGCTTGCTTTGCTTGCTTGGCTTTGAGAACTGTCAAACAATTTTTAAAATCTACTAAAATGTATGAAAGTTGGCCTAGTGGCAGCTTTACTTCACTTCCTTCAAAGTAAAGCAAAGCAAACTAAAGTAAGCAAAGCAAGCAAAGCAAGCGTGCATTGGGCCAATACCTTTATGGGTACCAACTTTCCATCGCACAACACTAAGGGCCTGTTGTTCAATGTCTGATTAGCACAAATCGGGGGTAGAAGCTCCGGTTAAGCACAACTAATGCTTTATCGATCACATGTTACATGCCGGTTGCTCAATGTCTGGTTATCGCTAATCTCCGGTTAAACATAGTTATCGACGCTCCCTGTTGTATGAATGGGGTCGAATACGTCGATAACAATGTTTAACCGGAGATTGGTGTTAACAAGACATTGAGTAACCGGCCCTAAGTAGCAACCGATATTTTCATACATGGATAATCGATATTTTCATTTTGGTCGACAATGCAGGCTCAATTAAATTTATGGACTTGACTGGGTTCACACAGAGAAAGTTTTGTTCGGCAACTTAAGTTTTGGTGTTTTCCTTCGCGTTCACACAGAGCAATTATTTTGTACACAATTGTTGTTGTCAGCTGTGAACCATCAACTTGAATCACCCAGACGAATGAGAGCACAAAGCTTGTTCCCCGAGCATGAACAACTCGGTTCCCTTCCCCTTTCAGCGAGTCCCGCATTACCACGATTCTGACGTTGCGAATCCGCAGAGCCAAAATTTAAAACAATGCTATGTTCCTCTCGTTTGACGCGTTCGAAACGCGGCTTGCAGCGTTTTGAAGGTGTCAAAGAGGAAGAAGGAAAGTGTCATTGCAAAACACGCAAAGAAAAAAATGTGTAATGTACAAAAACTAATAAAAAAAAATGCTCGTAACAATCTTATTTTATATGATATGGACACGCCGTGTCCCGTACGAGTCCGGACTAGTTAGAAATAGTCAGAATCAGCCAGATTTTACTGGAAATCGATCCCGTACTCGGTTCTCTGACTGCTGAGAGGACAAAAAAGAGAGTAAATACGGTTCTCTCTCTGTCAGAAGTTACCAGTTTTAGTCCGAGAATTTTTTGCTGGTAAATTCTGGTAAATGTGTCAAAAGATCAGCTGTAGTGTGTTTGGCAACCAAATTGTAAACAAAAGAAAAGTGCACTCTGCTAATTCATGTATGAAAAGTATTTAATTACTTGTTTAAGTGGATTCTAATGAATTTGAAAGTATTTTTGGTTATTTACATGTGTGAGTTGAGTGTGTTTACATACAAAATAAGCAAAAATTTACAACCAAAATTTGGAGGTTATGTTGAAGTTGACAGAAGTTACCATTTTTTACTAGAAAGCGATCCCGTACTTTTCAATGTTACTCTCTCGCTCTGAACGAATTTTTATTTTTTGACAGTTTTACTAGTCCGAGTCCGAGGAATAAGGGATTGCACCTAATGCTATTTTGCGCACGATTGCGGATTCGAAGTGAACAGCCGAATTCGCAATGTATTCCCATTCCTCGTCGCCCTCTCTCCCACAAAATTCGAGTTGCCGCAACAAAAGTTTCTGTGTCTGAACCTAGACTTTACATTCTCTAGTTTATTTATATAAAATTCGGCGATAGGTTTTGAAATAATGAATTATCCAGGCTGGGAGGAAAGTTTGGTATACTAAGGATATCAATTTTTGCTATAGCACTTTTTATATCGTTTAATAACCGGCCGTCTTCACGTGCTGGAAAATCTCGCTTGCGTGACGACGCATGTGAGAAACCGCACGTGTAGACCGCTTGCTTTCAACTGTCATTTTTGTTGTTTGACAGCTATGTTCTCATTTCGCAGAACTCTTCAGAGTAGCAACATCGTTTATTTTGGAGGCAAATACAAATTTAGAGGCAGCCATTTTTCATTTGAAAATAGTATACATCTCTTTGTGCAGATTTTCTAATTTTCTAAAACTTTTAAGAGCCTGCAAGGCTTGAACCTTCTTGTTTGGCGACATTTTACAAATGAAAAAGTATGATGTCAAATGCCCAGTCAACAAAACTCTATCTCGCTTGCGAGAGAAAAAAGCAGAACGCCAGCGAGATTTTCAAGCGTGTGAAGACGGCCGGTAAGGGCGGGAATAATGTATTTGTAGAATCTATTTCCAACACTATTTGTGCCTTTAAATACAGCGTCATCTGGTTTTCAGATTACGCTTTCGACAAGGGATGAAATTAGTCAGCTGTTTATACTTCAATTTATTCCAATTACTTATGTTATAAAACAAAGTGGAGAAGTTATAAAGTAAATAAAAAAATGAAGCACGCAAAATTCATAGCAAGAACCGTAATGGTACAAAAAAATAATGTGGAAGAAGCCTGTCGTTTGTTAAATCGCATCTTGGGCAAAGAGGAAATTTTCGATCAATACCGGCGAACACGCTTCTATGAAAAGCCGTATCAGGTTAGTACCATGAACCAAAAATGTGTTTCGTTCATGGGTTAGTACCATTTAAATCTATAATATATGTTTATTTCAAACATTGTGTTTGTTGTTGTAGGTGCGACGTCGAGTTAACTTCGAGAAATGCAAAGCAATCTATAATGAGGACATGAATCGGAAGATACAATTTGTGCTACGCAAAAATCGCACGGAACCATTCCCAGGATGTAGTTAAATATGTATTCATATTTTTTTAATTCAATAATCATGTAATAACATTAAAGCATTTGTTTTGTTAAATGAATGAACATTTTCCCATTACAATGATGCTTGTGATTTGTTTTGCGAGATTCCTCTTTATTTGGTATTTGTACTGCTGGAGCTTCAAAGCTTTATAGGGAGGTTTGAAAGCTTATTGGACAGTTGTTGACAGTGAAAAACTGCCTGTGTAGGGACGATGGTTACCAAAGTGTTTCTTACATTCAAGCAGAACGGACGTGTTAATGTAAAATTAAGTGGTATGTCAAGAGATTAACGAAAGGAAGTAAATAATAAAAAAAAGCATACAAGTTGTGCTCTAATACTGTGAAAAAAAACTTGTTAATTTTTAATTTTATTTAGCACACCGTGCAAAAAGGGAAAGGTAGTAATGGTGGTTTAACAAATTTCGGAATCCTCGGCTGAAAGCCCCCAATGAATGAATTGTTTGAATCCATATTTTACAATATGGCTTATTAGCTTCCCTTAAGGGTATATCAGCGCAATTAACACTGCCTAACTCTGTTCATTCATGCCATTTCCTGCGTAACATATATGTATGGCTGATATAAAAAATATAACGTTAGGAGGGATCAATGAAAAAGTCGCCTTGAACTTTTACAGGCGACCTGTAAAGCACGAATGCATAATGCATGCTTCAATAAATTTATTGTATTAAAGCGGAAATGGCCTGTATTATAAGTGTAAGGAACTGGACTTATGAAATCATAGATTTTAAAAATGTAAATAACATACGTACATACACATTAAAGGCTTAAATTATATTTGGTCTATTAAATTAAAATGCCAAATGTAATGGCAAATCATGTGACGTCCTATATTGAATCTCCTAACTACGAATCTAAATACGTGTCTCCCATTCCTTCAATTGCGCAATGAGGCACATTGTTATAAAGCTACTGTTTAGTAGCCCTTAATGTACGCTGACATCCCCTTTCATGTCACGTTGTTGGCACGGTTCTCCTTAACTTTGTATTTTTTGCATAGTTGCTTTTGTTGTGGGATATCGATTTGTTAGTGTTTTCATGCTATTTTTAGCAGCTGAAGTGCTTAACGTTTTCTAAGAAAAAGTGCTCGTGCACCGAGAAATATATGCATGCAAATGCATGTATGTAGGTACATTTGTGAATGGTTTACGTTATGACTATTTTTTGTGCTTCAACAATCGATGTATCGCGATGACGGCTATTGTTCCCTGTTTATAGCAAGGATCAAGACGCTACCA